AAGAAGAAGGAAGAAGGAACATAAAGGAAGAAGGAAGAAGAAGGAAGAAGGAACATAAAGGAAGAAGGAAGAAAGAAGAAGAAGGAAGATGAAGGAAGAAAGAAGAGGGAAGAAGCAGGAAGAAGGAAGATGAAGGAAGAAGGAAGGAAGAAAGAAGAAGAATGAAGAAGAAGAAAAAGGAAGAAAGACGGAAGAAGAAAGAAGGAAGAAGAAGAAGAATTCCAGTCCGCCATTATATGTTATATGAAAAGTTTTGCGGTTGCAACAATGTATCTATTTGTATCTGAATAAAACCATCTGTATCCGAAATGGATACAAATAGATACATTGTTGCAACTGCAAGACTTTCATGTAAAAATATAATAGCGGAGCTCCCTTCAAGGGAGAGAAGTAATAAATGCCGGACGTAGACGGGACAAAAATCGGCCGATTTCTTTTACCATTGGTGGTAACGTCGGCCTATTGAACGGTCGTTTTTTCATTATTTTTTTTTAAAACGGCTGGTTTTCAACCCATCTATGGCCTGCATTAGACAGTGACAGAATGAAATTCCCCGGGGAAGAAATGACGTGGAGCACAGATTCTACAATCCCTACAAGGGAAGACAAGCCACGGAGCGCTCTGCGTCTTTAAACTTTATTCTCTCCCCTCTATACATACCAGAGCAGAGTCTGAGGATGGCTACAAAGTCTAAAGCATGTATTCCCAGGACACCGGGAGCTGCTAAACATGTATAGATGCCCCAGTCACATCACATCTCCCACACATTACCAACTGAGCGCAATGCAGGACTGTGTACACATCAACAGATGGGCATCTATTTATCTATCTACAGCACTGGTCTCCAACATCTGGCCCTTGGGGTACTATACCTCCTACTGACACCAACAGTGGGGCTTCATTTCTTCCACTGACACTAACAACTCAACACTATTTCTCCCACTAACATCAACAGTGGGGCTTCATTCCTTCCACTGACACCAACAATGGGGCACCATTACTCCCGCTGACACCAACAGTAGGACTTAATTATTTCCACTGACATCAACAATGGGGCATATATTCCTCCCACTGACACCAACAGTGGGGCTTAATTTCTTCCACTGCAACAATCGGGCACTATTCCTCCCACTGACACCAAGCAGTGGGGCTTAATTCCTTCCACTGACACCAACAATGGGGCACTATTACTCCCATTGACACCAACAGTGAGGCTTAATTCCTTTCACTGGCACCAAGAATGGGGCACTATTACTCCCTGTGACACCAACAGCAAGGGAAAAGAAAAATTACTGCAGCCACCACGTCTAATGATCGTGACCTGTAATATATTTAATTTTTTGTTTTGGGTTTAATATTGCTTTAAATTGTAAAAGTAGCTTTGAGAATGTGAAATGCATTAAAGCAGTAAAGAGTTCAAAGAAAAAATGATTGAATATCGGAAACTTGGTGGTTTGGTTCATGTGATAGGGGGATTTACTAGAACTAGAACATAAGAATCATGGAAACCAACCAGCTTCTAGGTTCCTCCCTTTGATACCAACAATAGGGCACCATTTGTCCCACTAATGTCAATGAAGGGGCATTTTTTACTCCCATTGGTGCCAGGGTCTTAACTACTCACACCACAGTCCAGACCAGGGGCAGACTGACAACTCATGGGGCCCCTGGGCAATAGGAGATCATGGGGCCCCTGTGTCCTTGCCCAAACTCAAAAAAGCCTATGAAAAAGGTACCAGGGGCATCTCATGGGTCCCCCTACTGACCCCGGGCCCTCGGGCAGTGCCCGAGTTTAAAAATGGACAGTCCGCCCCTAGTCCAGCCCCCTCAAAGTCTGAAGGACAGTAAACTGGCACTTTGTTTAGAAAGTTTGGAGGCCCCTGATCTATAGTAAAGGGCTGTGTTAAGGATAAAGCAATACTTCCATCATCAAAAAAATAAAAACCCAAAAGTAGTTCTCTGCAAAAGACTAGAAAAATGACTTCTCCAGTGGCCTGTCTTCTGTCTCCGCTCTGCTGAAGGCCTACAGCCCTAGATGCTTCAGCATATAACACTTCTGAGATGTCAGATACCTGTGCCCCCCATTATGTACTGTGGTTCCACCCTCTGGCCCTTGCTTTGGTACAGGACAGTAGTGACGTAGGGAGTCAGTGGATGGAACCAAAGCAAGCCATGAGGAACATCCAACACTTCCAGAAGGGTGAGGATTCTAATGGAGACTGTAGTAATTCAACGAAGCAAAGATAGGATATGCAGGCCATTGGAGACTTGGGTACACTACAACATCTTGTCATGGAACTGCTTTTGGAATTAAGTTTTTTTTTTTGCGATCACAGTGTCACTGAAATGTAAAGGTTAGTTTAGAGAGTATTTTTAGCCCCAGTTTTTATTTTGCTTTGGGTAGAGTTGGGAAGGATTAGAGCATCTGTTATTTTTTTCTTGTTTTCTGTCCACTTTCCCTTCACTTCCTGTCTCAAAGCCATAGATGAAGAGCAAACATTTTAGCTAGAGTCACGATTTAGGGCTGTGTTTATGTTAAGGGTTAGTTTCTTGGAATGTAATTCATTTTCTTTTTGGCTTTCAGTTTTTGGCACTGAGGCAACCGTGGCCTCATGGAATTGCATCCAGCACTATTAATACACTATGAACTATCTATATACATATAGTATACTGTATATACCAGCCTTTCTCAACCTTTCCAACGCAAATTAAACCTTGAAATAACGTTTCGATCTCAGGGAACCTCTGAGAATTACTGTACCTGCAAGTTGTGATACATTAATGTGATGGTTAGTGGGAAAAATGCTCCTTACCAAGGGCGGACTGACAACTCATGGAGCCCCCGGGCAATAGGGGATCATGGGGCCCCTGTGTCCTTGCCTACACTCAAAAAAAGGCTATAAAAAGGTACCAGGGGCATTTCATGGGGCCCCCTACTGACCCCGGGCAATCAGACAGTGCCCGAGTTCTCGAATGGTCAGTCCGCCCCTGCTCCTTACGCTTGTGGTCATTGGGAAGAATTACCCCTTTACAGTGAAAACGTATCTGAGAGGGGGAAATTGTTCATTGCTCAAGGAATCCCTAGCAACCTCTGGAGGAACCCTAAGGTTTCATGGACCCCTGGTTGAGAAACCCTGGTATACACACTGATCCCTGCAGATCCACCATAACAGCCTCCAATCTTCTGGGAAGGTTTCCCACAAGATTTTGAAGCATGTCTAGAAGAATTTGTGCCTATTCAGTCAAAGGGTCAAATACTGATGTTGAATGAGAGCTTGGCTTGTGATGGCCATTGCAGTTCATCTCAAAGATATAAGAATTACTGTATCTGCAAGTCGTGATACAATAATGTGATGGTTAGTGGGAAGAATGCTCCTTACCAGGGGCGGACTGACAACTCATGTGGCCCCCAGGCAATAGGGGATCATGGGGCCCCTGTGTCCTTGCCCACACTCAAAAAAAGGCTATAAAAAGGTACCAGGGGCATTTCATGGGGCCCCCTACTGACCCCGAGGCAATCAGGCAGTGCCCGAGTTCTCGAATGGTGTCCGCCCCTGCTCCTTACGCTTGTGGTCATTGGGAAGAATTACCCCTTTACAGTGAAAACGTATCTGAGAGGGGGAAATTGTTCATTGCTCAAGGAATCCCTAGCAACCTCTGGAGGAACCCTAAGGTTTCATGGACCCCTGGTTGAAAAACCCTGGTATACACACTGATCCCTGCAGATCCACCATAACAGCCTCCAATCTTCTGGGAAGGTTTCCCACAAGATTTTGAAGCATGTCTAGAAGAATTTGTGCCTATTCAGTCAAAGGGTCAAATACTGATGTTGAATGAGAGCTTGGTCATTGCAGTTCATATCAAAGATATTCAGTAGGACTGAGGTCACTATTCAAGCTCCTCCACACCAAACCCATCAAACCATGTCTTTATAGAGCTGGCTTTTTGTCATGTTGAAATGGAAAAGAACCTTCACCAAACCTTCACCAAAGTCCGGAAGTGCACCATTGTCTAAAACAGGGTTTCTCAACTAGGGTTCTGTGGAACCATAGGGTTACTTCAGTGGCTGCTAGGGGTTCCTTAGGCAATAAGCGATTTCTCCCCCTAAAATGAGTAACCATTGACACCATTGTTCTTTTATGCTATCTGGGGGGGTAAGGGTTCCCTGAACCCAAAAGGATATTTCAAGGGTTCTTTTATGTCAAAAAGATTGAGAAAGGCTGGTCTAAAACGTCTTTATATGTTGTAGCATTACAATTACCTTTCGCTGGAAACTTCTGCACTCAATAATTTGGATGGGGGATCAGATGGGCATATAGTTAGGTGCGATGATCCGTTCTCCACAAACTTTTGTCTGTATAGCATATATTATTATTATTATACAGGATTTATATAGCGCCAACAGTTTGCACAGCACTTTACAAAATGAAGGTAGCCATTACAGCTACAAAAACATTTGGTACAAGAGGAAACAGATCAATATACAACAAGGTGTTTGAAACATTTCTCAGATTTTTGTCCATATTGACATGATAGCATCACGCAGTTGCAGATTTGTCATCTGCACATCCATGATGCGAATCCACCACATCCCAAAGGTGCTCTATTGGATGGAGATCTGGTGACTGTGGAGGCCAGTGGAGTCTAGTGATCTCATTGTCATGTTCAACAAACCAGTTTGAGATGATTTGAGCTTTGTGACATGGTGCATTATCCTGCTGGAAGGAGCCATCAGAAGGGACACTGGAGTCATAAAGGGATGGACATGGTCAGCAACAATACCCAGGTAGGCCATGGTGTTTAAATGATGCTCAATTGGTATTAAGGGGCTGAAAGTGTGCCAAGAAAATCTCCCCCACACCATTACACCACCATTACCACCACCAGCCTGAACCGTTGATACAAGGCAGGATGGATTTACGCTTTCATAATGTTTACACCAAATTCTGACCCTACCATCTGAATGTCGCACCTGAAAACCAGACTCATCAGTTGTTATTTCAAAATATAAGTATACATGATATGAAGGCACCTGGACTTACCTTGTGTGAGTAGTGTTGATCCACAATCCTCGCCAAACCAAAGTCTCCAATTTTCAAAACAAGGTCCTCGGTACTGATGAAAATGTTAGCTGGTTTCAGGTCCCTGTGTAGGACATTGGCCGAGTGGATGTACTTCAGGCCTCGAAGCAGCTGGTACATAAACAGCTTGGCATGTTCTTCACTGAGAGGACCTTGTTCTAGAAGATGAGCAAGATCTGTTTCCATGTGTTCCTGGACGATGTACACAACGTTGTATCTAAATATATCCCCCTGCAGGTCAGCCCCTCTTGGCCCCAATACAGCATGAACCTTCACGATATTATCATGATTAAGACGTCGGATGATCTTTATCTCCCGTAAGGCGTGCTTCATGCTCCGACAGTCGCCGATGGTTATCTTCTTCACTGCCACCTTCCGAGAATTTTTGCTGTCCGTAGCAGACAGAACCAACCCGTTGGCTCCAAAACCCAACGGCTTAAAATCCACAAAGTGGCCTCCCAAATCATAGCCGTACATGTTAGCAATGAAGTCGCACTTTTCAGCCATGGTGGTTTTGTAAACTTCAAAAAAAGAAGCTCCAGAAAAATGATTGGGAAGACCAAGGAAGAAAAAAAAAAAAAGCAATCTTTCAAATCTTTGCAACGCCAAGGATTCAGGTTAAGCAGAAGATTCAGCAAAAATAAATAACATCTAAAGATATAAAAGAACTAAAAGTGAAAAGTTCTTTTGTTTCAAACACCAAATATCTCATCGGCAGCAAGGCTTAGCTTGGTTATCCCACCCTTGCAGCAGTTGAGGATTTGTCTACAGTGTATAGGTGTCACCCAGAAAAATATCATGCTGGCTTTGTAATCATTACTTTGACGGCTGAGGCTGTGATGTCACTCCAGTGGGCCATTAGGTGCAGCAGAAACTCGCGTCACTGACTATTTATCCTCTTTAGGAGACAGCCGAGTCATTCTTGCCACCTGTTCTTGTCACTGCAGTTCGATAATTAATAGACAAGCTGGGATTTCGGTTTTGGACGACCATAGGCCGATCTCATCTCCTGCAGCTGGTAAAGACGGGTTAGCAGAACGAGGAGGCTATGTGAGTCCTGATAGAGGTGTCCAGGAAGGTTCTGCTTGATCCTGCTGTCATCTTCTCCTTCCAGCCATCCTTGATCTTCAGCAGTGAAGAGGACTCTGGTGACCTGTATGGTGGTATGCAGACGGCCTCCTGGGCTTTATCGGCCTTTCTGAAAACAAGCACAAGATTGGTTGAACTGATAGGACAATAAGTGTGAACTGCTGGTAATGTTACTTCTCACTGTGTGAAGGTTAATAGGAAGAACTGCGATGACCTTTGGTAATTCATTAGCTGTGCTCACCTATACGGCTGCATTCTTCCCCGGCGAGTGCGTTAAACAAACATAGTGCGTTATTGTTTAGGAGGCCGTGCACACTGGGCATGAGAAAAAATGCAGCTTCAACGGGTGCTGGGCATTCTTTTCTTCAGCCTGTAGATGTGCAGAGCTATTGTTAGAAACCACGGGGCCCCATACAGCCAACCTGACGGGGCCCCCATACCCCCCAAAAAAAACACTGTTTACTAGGCTGAATAGACATTGCATGTGATCGGTACTGATCACTCATTGTGTTCATTCAGGAAAGCAAGGGGCTGGCAAATGTGACATATTTACTGGACCCTTCCCCCACTTCCATCCAGAAGCAGTCTATTGTGTGTTGGCAGCTGCCGGTGGGAAGAAGAGGGGGAAGCCGGCAGCACTGTGGGGGTACACGGGGGGGGGTCTGGGCAGCAGGGGGAAATGTATGGTGCACAGGGAGGGTGATGGGTGCAGCGATGGGGGAGAAATTACTGGAACCGATCCCCTGTACGGCTCTCTCTGCAGCAGCTGAAAGATGGCTTTTTCTCTTCAACCTTCCAGTAATTGCCCCCACCGCACCCATCACCCTCCCTGTGCACTATACATTTCCCCCTGCTGTCCAGGCCCCCCTGTGCTGCTGGCTTCCTCTTCTTCTTCCCTCTCTGCAGCAGCTAAAACATGGCTTCTCTTCTCCCTACCACTGGCTTTCAGCTGCTGCAGGGAAAGCCATACAGGGGATCAGTTCCAGTAACTGACCCCCCCCCACCGCACCCATCACCCTCACTGTGCACCATACATTTCCCCATGCTGTCCAGACCCCTGTGTGTGCCCCCACAGTGCTGCCGGCTTCCCCCTCTGCAGCAGCTGAAAGATGGCTTCTTCTCTTCTCCCTACCACTGGCTTTCAGCTGCTGCAGAGAAAGCCATATAGGGGATCTGTTCCAGTAATTGCCATCACTCTCCCTGTGCGCCATACATTTCCCCCTGCTGCCCAGGCCCCACTGTGTGCCCCCACAGTGCTGCCAGATTCCCTCTCTTCTTCCCGCTCTGCAGCAGCTAAAACCTGGTTTCTCTTCTCCCTACCACTGGCTTTCAGCTGCTGCAGGGAAAGCCATACAGGGGATCAGTTCCAGTAACTGACCCCCCCCCACCGCACCCATCACCCTCACTGTGCACCATACATTTCCCCATGCTGTCCAGACCCCTGTGTGTGCCCCCACAGTGCTGCCGGCTTCCCCCTCTGCAGCAGCTGAAAGATGGCTTCTTCTCTTCTCCCTACCACTGGCTTTCAGCTGCTGCAGAGAGAGCCATATAGGGGATCTGTTCCAGTAATTGCCCCCCCCACCGCACCCATCACCCTCCCTGTGCGCCATACATTTCCCCCTGCTGGCCTGGGCCCCATACAGGAGGACTGGTGGTACCCCCTTATCCATGGGCCTGCCTATGTGTCCATGCAAATTAGATAGATTAGAGGCAAAAAAAAAAAACGCATCACTAGTGCGTTTTGGACTGGAGTCTTCAGGCAGAAAAGACCACTAAATGCTCATAAATGCAGAGCTTAGGAGCATTTGTCATTTTCAAGCGTGGGGAATGTTTTGGAAAAAAAACGTTTCTTAGTTTTTGTTATAAAATTTTGTAAATAAGTGATTTGTCTCCTTCACTGATGTGCGCTAATGAGGCTGCACTGATGGGCACTGATAGGTGGCACTGATAGGCTGCACTGATGGGCACTGATAGGCTGCACTGATGAGAATGCACTGGTAGGTGGCACTGATGGGCATTGACAGGCATCACTGATGGGCACTGAAAGGCAGCACTCATATATGGCACTGATAGGCTGCACTGACTGACACTGATAGGCGGCACTGACTGGCACTGTTAGGGGGCACTGATAGGCAGCACTGACGGGCACTGATAGGCAGCAGACGGGCACTGATAGGCGGCACTGATGCACACTGATAGGCGGCACTGACTGGCACTGATAGGCGGCACTTACTGGCACTGATAGGTGGCAGTGATTGGCAGCACTGATAGGTGGCACTGAAAGGCAGCTCAGATGGGCACTGATATGTGGCATTGATGTGCACTGGTAGGCACTGAAATGTGGCACTGATGGGCACTGGCAGGTGGCATGGATGAGCACTGACAGGTGGCACGGATGGACACTGACAGGTGGCACTGCTGGGGCTACACTGATCATCAGGGCACACTGTCCCCTCTGAGTAATGCCAATTACCGGCTCTCCTCTTCTGTCAGTGTGACAGCTCGTGAGGACAGAAATGCCGATAACCGGCATTTCCCTGTTTACATGTGATCAGCTGTGATTGGGCACAGCTGATCACATGACCGAGCCAACATCTTCGGCTCTTTTGAGGGACACAGCGCACCGCATGCGCGGTTAGAATGTGAGGACGTCATATGACGTCCTCCCAGAATGAGAGAACCACCTTGCGTCCGTATATTACTATATGGCGGGCGGGAGGCGGTTATAAAAAAACCGCACTGGTTTAAAAAGCACAAATGTAAACTTGATCGTCAGGAAACCATGTTAAATGGACCGAAGGGCATTTATCAAAAAAAAAACCCAAAACAAAAAAAAAAAAAAAAAAAAACATAACCAAAGGAAAAGAAAGGAAAAAAACTGATCCAGACCTCTGGTTCTGAAGATGTTGGTGGCCTGGCTATCATGCCAATCCAATGGCTTGTGTTGCCGTCAGAGTCCCCCTAAGGCTCACCATACATTTTACAATTCGTTTGTTTGACTTTAGATCTGCCAAATCTAAGTAACATGCACCCATCCAAACTATCCAAAGTCACATGACAAGTCCCCCCCCCCCCCCGTTTCCCAATGGGTACCATTCATATCTGTGCGACTTCAAGTCACAGCGACTTCAAAGTAGTTCCTGCACTACTCTGGGTCGACTTTCATGTGAATTGAGGGCCATAGACTTCAATGTAAACCCTCCAAAATCACATGAAAGTAAAAAACGCAGCAAAAACGCACATGCATCCGGAACGCATCTGGACTGTGTTTCTATAGTGTGATCCAGCCTTAAGTCTAGGTTCACACCTATGGTGGTTGCATTTGAGGCATTTCTGCATTCTTTTTACACCTGCATTTTTTACTTGTTTTTGCCGCATTTTCCTTTTTTTTTTCTTGTTGCTAGGCACATTTAAAGTGCAAAACGCATCAAAAACGCATAAAAATGCAGCAAAAATGCACTAAATGCTTTTCTGCAGCGTTTCCAAGTCTATAGAACCAAAAACGCAATGTTTTGCGTTCAAAAAAGGTCCCTGACCCTTTCCAAAACGAGTGTTTTTTGCCGCATTTTGGATGCATTTTGCGGGGGGGGGGGGGGGGGGTCCTTTCTTAAAAAACGTTGTTGTTGCTAGGTAGATTAAAATATATGTCTGTGTTACTTATAATAATAATTATAAACAGCTACCCCTGCTCATGCTTTTTCTAGGTCACTGACTTAGGCGAGGTTCACACCTATGCGGTTTGCTGTTGATCCATTTCTACAGTGCGTTTTGCATTTTTGCACATACGTTTTTGCCACGTTTGAGTTTTTTTTTACTTGTTGCTGGGCAGATTAAAATGCAAAGCACATAAAAACTCATCAAAAATGCACTACATGCTTTTCAGCAGTGTCTCCATTGAAGTCTATAGAACCAAAAACGCAACGTTTAGTGTTCAAAGAAGTCCCTGACCCTTTCCAAATAAACGCGCCGGGGTGAAAACACAGAGATGTGAATGTGTCCCATAGGAAATCATGTTAAATGGACTGTACTGCGTTTCTGCAGAATGCTGCAGAAAACACTTAGGTGTTAGCCTAGAGTAAGGCTAGGTTCACACCTATGCTGGTTGCGTTTGAGTCGTTTCTGCATTGCGTTTTTGCACCTGTGTTTTTTACGAGTTTTTGCTGCATTTTTCTTTTTTTTTTGGTCATTTTTTTTTCTTGTTGCTAGGCAGATTTAAAATGCAAAATGCATCAGAACACATAAAAAATGCAGCAAAACTGCACTACATGCTTTTCTGCAGCGTTTCCATTGAAGTCTATAGAACCAAAAACGCAACGTTTTGTGCTGAAAAAAGTCCCTGACCCTTTCCAAAAATAAAGCATCAGGTGAAAATGCAGAGATGTGAATGT